GTGAGCTATCTTCTGGACTTAATACGCATCACCATATATTAATTACACGTGGAACGTACAATTGAGTATAGATCGTTTGAACTGTATAGCTCATGACCCATACAATACAAGGCGTCTAGCTCCTTCATCAAATATACAAAGGATGGGTTAGGAGTTTCTTTTTTAGCTTTTTAAGCATCTCAAGTTGCTCATATTTCAAGCATGATAACTTTGGAGTTCATAACCGAGGTGTGACTTGAACCGTTGTAAATCTTTAACTGGTTAAAGTGAAAGATTAGTCTTGTGCTCAACTAAGACGTTAAACGCTACACCCAATTTCGTTTGACTGAAATTGTGACACGAACAACAAAATATGTGATCAAAAAAGCTTCCATCGGCTTAATTTTGAAAAGATTGGAAACATTTCAAATGTACCATTCTGGTTTGTTTGAAAACTGAGCTCTGTTTGTGAGAGACTCCGTGTTCGATTCATGGATCACTTTTTCTTCCGTAGCCGCGATCAGCAGTTTATCTTTAATTAGTGGATGATCCTTGGTCGATTGGCAGTGAAATGCAGATCGTTTAAAGACGGTACTCCCAGACCCAATAGTTTCTCATTAATTGGTACGTTTTTGTCTGATAATTCGTATGTTCGGTCATATTGACGTAAGTGTTTCATAAATCTCGCGATATAAACAGAGTGGCTGCTATAATAAGTAATAAAACTAAGCGCACAGTGGGCTTCACATAGTTTACGGAAGACGCTTCTCGACCAGGGGCCGATAAGACAACGTCACATCATAAAATAAGTGCCAAGCCATGTCGTGTTGAGACTGAGGAAACGGGTTAAACTCAAGTTTACTTGTTACACATTCGATCGAGACTGAGCATCTGATGAATACGAATTCACCATTATATATTAAGTCCGATCAAACGACTCCGTGATTGTTTGACTTATTAAAAATGGGCTGCCCGGTGGCCCAGTGGGTAGCATTGCTGCGATCTGCTCGTGAGTTCCCGGGGTCGATGGATTCGCATAGCTGATGAGACCCAGCCAGGCCAAAACAGTTGTTCAGCACTTCTTAGCTTTTCAGTTCACGCTTAACTTGCCATAAACACAAATATATACCTTCAAGTTGAAATAAATACTGTTATTTATTCAGTAAGGCCAGAATTGTGTGCACTCATATTTCCCTGGCCCGAAATTTCCAACGTCATG